TCTGTCAAATAAATAAATAAAATCTTAAAAAAAAAAAAAAAGGTTTAAGTGAAGGGGCTCAGGAGGAAAGGTGGCCCTGGGACGTGCCTGTGGTCCCTGCTCTCCTCTCTCCCTCTCTCCATGGGCCTGTTTGCAGAGATTCGTCCCTGCAGTTTGACAGTTCTTGGAAACCAAAAGGCCAAACCTCCCAGCCTTCTTGGTGAAGTGGATGGATGGGTTCAGTGTGTGAGAAGCAGGGACCTTCCAGACATGAGCTCAGGCCCTTCCAGTCCCTGGCCAGGTGGCAAATGGCAGCAAGGGCCACACTTTCCCTCCCTGGTGGCCCTGCAGCAGCCCTGGAATAGTCGGGGACTTCTGCCAGGGACCCAGGGCATCCCGGTCACCCCTTTGGTAGATAGGGAAGTGGGGAGGGGTAGACAAGAGGGTCCGAAGTTCTGGGACCTCTATACTTCAGGGCTGACCAGAGGCCTTGGAATGGGAACACGTGGTGTGAACCTAGGGACCCCTTTGAAGACAGTCACAGAATCACCCTACAATCTGATTAAGCCACAGGACGGTGACACAGGCCTCGACCTCTGTCCTTCTGCCCCAAGGAGGCATCGATGGGCAGAAGAGCCCTAAAAAACACAAGGCAGAGCTTCTGATGGTCAGAGCTGCCCAAATTATGGTGGGCTCCCCCACTTCAAGGGATTTCCAAGCAAAGACTGGTCTTCAGTTTGAGATGCCCTGGGGCCTTAGTGCTGAGGGCTCCCTGGGTTCAGATCCTCACCCGGCCAGGGATGTGACCTTAAGCGAGTACCTCCCCTCTCTGTGTTCAGTTCTCTCATCTGTACAATGAAGTTATTACAAGGACCCACCTCATAGGGTCACTGTGGGGATTAAGCCACTTGGCACACATTCCTTGGGGTGAGGGGTCCTGCCCCACGCAGGGGAACAGTCTGTAGGAACTCAAGCTCTAAGGCTCTTAGAAAGAATTTGGTGGTTGCAAAGACTGAAGCCCAGAGAAGTGGGGGATTCAGAGAAAACCACATATCGCGGCAGCAGCAAGGAGGCTCCCAAGCCTCAGCGCTGGGCAAGCTCCGCTGCTCCCACCGTGCCCACAGCTCCGTCCCCACAACCCCCCCACCATCCCGCCCCGATGGCTTGAGGTTGCAGAGAACTCACGAGACACACAGACATCAACATGCAACAGCGCAGAAAGCTCGCTCTGTGCCCTCATCCAGCCGGCAGGTGCAAGCTCCGGGCGGCGGCAGCATGCGGCCCCCTCCCCTCCAGGACTCCCGGCCACAGCCACACCACGCACACTTACAGAGTTATGGTGGACAGTTCTGACATCTTGCAGGAGTGCTGCTGAGCCCGCTGTGGCTTGCAGTAGCATTTCTGCACGCAGCTGCTGGGTATGACAAGATCAGCACTTCTGTCAGCTGGGGGCATCGGGCAATGAAGGAACTGAGGTGGACCTAGAGCGACGCGCGGCTCAGGGGAGGGCAGAGGAGCCCAGGTGCGGAGACAGGGCGGGCGCGGTGACATGGAAGAGAATGAGGAAGCCAGGGGCCAAGACATGGTCAGCTCTGGACATAGAAATGCATGCCCAGACGTGGACAGGTGTGCGCATGGAGACATATGCACACAGCGAGCACTCGCACTGGGTCCACAGCAGGTAAGGGGAGCTGGAGGGCACGTGTGTTCTGAAGGTGGGGGCGGGCCTGGGTCTCAAGCAGGGGCCTGGAAGCTGTCCACTAAGTCAGCACCAGGCTCAGAGCATGGCCTTGCTGGGGGTCCCTCAGCAAGATGGGCAGCTGGAAACACATGCCTGGGCCGACCCAGTCTGAATCAGGCCAGTTCTGGCCTTGGCTGTTCACTGGTCTTTCTCCTCTACACCGCTCACTCTTCCGCCTGGACCTCCTCCTCTCTGAGCTCCCAGGCAGCTCAGCATGGGCAAACCGGGGCAACAGAGGTGGGATGGATGGAAGAGATGGCTAATTAACCTAAATCTGCGCTACCCAATAGGACAGCCATGACCCATCTGCAGCTATTTGAATTAAAATTAAATTAAATTAGAAATCCACTTTCCTCAGTTAGCCTAGCCACATCGCAAGGGCTCAAGAGCCACACGTAGTTAGTGGCTCCCATATTGGACAGCACTGTCTAGGGCATATGGATCCCTACTGAGAGTTCTACGGCACAGTGCTGGGCTAGACTTCCTGATCGAAGTCCAACAGGCAGGGGCCGAAGGCTGACAGGGGCACGTTTTGGGCACTGGCCCACTGCCTGCAGAAACAAGTCATCTTAAAGGAGGCATCCACAGTGGAGCCCCGGGTGAAAGGCTTGCTCTATATTCCACTGGGTGAGACAGAGAGCTTCTACTTCCTCAGAGAAGTCAGGCTGAATTTCCATCTGTTCTAGCTCGTCATAGGTCCTGCTTATGCTTGGGTGGGGACAAGCTGCAGAAACTTCTTTTCCTTCTCTCATAAACATGTAAGACCGGGATCGAGTGCTGTGTCACCTAGTCAGACGGCAGAAGAGTGGCGGCCTCCACAAACCCTCCTCGGGCACCATGTGGCATGGAGCCCCTAGTACCTGCAGGTGACCTGAGCTGAGGGGATCTAATGCACATGAGAACAGAGACACACAAAGAGACCAGACCTTGGGCATTCATCGATTCATAATTTGTGATTCCAGCTCTTTGAGAGTAAGTCTGAAGGGCCTTGACAGATGCAGACATGTCATTTTGCTGAGGCAAGAATCAGAGTCACACACTTAAAAGATGAGGCAAGCCGAGGTCCCCCCAGGACCCTTGCCTCTGTCAAGTGCGTGGTTTTCGTTTAAAAACTGGCACCTCTCGGTTCACACCGCACGGTGGGGGGGGCACTACTGGCCCGCCTTCCAGATGTGGGATGTGAGGGACGGCATGATGCTCTCCGGCCCAGACCAGCGGCATCAGCACCACCTGCGAGCTTCTCAGAGATGCAGAATCTTAGGTGCCACCCCGGCCCAGCAGACTCAGTATCCACCTCTTAACAAGATCCTGAGGTGATCCACAGACAACTCAAAGCTTGAGAAGCACTGTTGTGAGGAAGTCATGTATTTGAGAAGTTTCTTCATGTGTCCTCGTGAAAGTCAGAGGTCTGTTTCATATACATACGAAGAGATGGATGGACACGTGTAAGTATGTTTTTCTCACAACTTAAAAGAACTTAATTGGACATTCAGGAATGGGAGCCATTCTCATCTCCAGATTTATCTCTGCCTGGCCCAGATCGAAAGGTTGGCTACTTTCTCCTATAGCCAATGGCCTGATTCCTCAACTGTGGCCTGGTTGGTGCCCAGGAGCCTGAGAGCCCAAACCTCAGATGCGGTCCCCTATGTGCCAGGCTTAAGCCCTCACCCTGAATTCTAAAGCTTCAGCTGCAGTCCTCTGAGACCGCTCCTCCTTGAGCTCCCAAACGGTTGTCCCTGCCCTTCCTGGGCCCTGGCCACAGTAAATACAGACTCCTCTGATTTCTTCAGAGTATGCTAAAGGCCACTTAGTGGCAAGTTAGCTGGGAGATCGGACCCCCGGTAAAGATGTGGGTCTCTGATGGGAGGGGCAGGACAAAGTGGGGGGGGGGCTGATGCCTGGGAGGGCTCTCAGGAGAAGGATCTAGGGACAAAGGTAAGTGCCCTTCCTCCCAAACACTCCACTTCTCCCAAAACTTCAATGGCTCTGTGCAAAAGGACCCACTGAAAAGAATACAAAATGGTGGCAGAAAAGCCAGAGACAGGTGTGACAAAGGCAGAGATGTCGTAACCTCTAAAATGTTACTACAATTGGTGAAAAAGGGGAAAGCAATTTAATCAAGAGGAAGACATAACCCTAGACTGGCTGGTGAGCTCAGTTCTGATTTGGACCCAAGGGAAGATAAGAAACAGGCAAAGGTGCTGGGTGGGAATGGATCAGAAGGCCGGAGAGCCCCACAGCAGGCACAGGGCCCATGCCTCCATCTGGAAACCAGGCAGCCTTGGCTCACAGGCCTGGTTCTGCCAAGGCTTTGCTGTGTATCTGCAGGAAGGTCAAAGCCGCCTCTGGGTCTCAGCACTCCCGTCTATAACCCAGGGAGGAAGCACATGGTTTCTTCGATCCCTGCTTTGGTCACAGGCTAACCTCCATGGATGCTTTGGTGCTTTTCGTGTGCAGAGCTACCTGGGGTGGCTGTATGTAGCCCTGGGGAACACCCGACAGAGTGCTAGACAGAGACCCCTGTGGGGGAGCTCTTGGAGGGCAGCACCCCTGTCTATTCTGCCCTGCTCCGAGTGATCAGTGCAGCGCTGGGTCACTTGGCAGGCCCACAGAACATCTCAGTCTGAACTGAACCTTCTCCATAGCGTCCCGCTGTATGCGCCCGGAACCCTGGCCCAGTGCCCAGGGAAGCACTGTACACCACGCTGGTACTCCGACCAGAAGCTCAGCTCAGTAGATCTTGGAGCTTCCCTGCCCACTGCTACCCCCTCCCCCACCACTGAGGATAAGCTCACGCTCTGTGCCCCCTTCCCAGCCCAGCAGGGACGGGCGGAGTCAGGGCTCCTGAGCTCAAGACTTTGTCTAGACACTGACTTGCTGGGTGGTCTCAGGTGGTACCACTTTCCTTCTCTGGGCCTCGGTTTCTCCATCTGCAAAACAGGAGTAACCATTCCCCGCTGCTGATCCTTAACAGGAGTTGTGAGGGTGTTCCTAGACGGAGGAGGGGTGCTTTGCAAGTGGAAAATGGAGCCCCACGTGAACTGCAGGTCTCAGGCTATGGGCTGAGTTCCTGGACTGACAGCTTCCTGGCTGCATTTCTGCCGTGACAGAGCCTGTCTTTAGAGTAGTTGCCGTCCTTCAGACACTGGGTATGAAACAGCCCTGCTGACTATCAACATCACGGTGTCTCTTCCCTTTTCCTTCCTTTACCCCAAGAGGCCATGCAGACCTGCTCTGCGAGGTCCCCAAGGGAAATACATGCGGGGTTTCCCTCCCCCACCTCAGAGCCAAGAGGTGGCTTCCAACGCCCATCCTGCATCGGGGAGACCGCTGGGAGGACAGCCAGCTCCTGGAGGCAGGCGGCCTCCAGCACACTCGGTGCCCGCCCGGGAAGCTCACTCTCCCCTTTCTGAGCCAGCTGGCTTCTCACAGAGCTAAGGGCGGGAAAGGGCAGACTAACCCTGACCCCAGCCTCAGGCTGAGCCCTAGCTCCCACCCCAGAACAAAGGGAGCCAGAGCACATGCCAAGCCCTGACCCAGGCCCACACTCCATGCCTGGCCACTGCCCAAGGCCTGAGGCCAGCCCCTCATTCTGTCAGGAGCATCAGGTGAGAGTGTGGGTGGCTCAGCGCCGCCGCCCCCTGCGGAGGTCCGAGCCCCCAACAGAAGCCATGTCTCAAACCCTTATCATCTGAGCAGCTAGGACCAACCTACAGGAAAGGGAGTGAATGCTGGTCAGAGGGCACTGGCCGGGGGTCCTCTCAGGCTTTCCTGGGGACTCCCAGGCTTATATTTGTTCTGGAAACAGAGGAAAAAACCAGAAAGCTGTTGTGGGTAGATCCGACGGGGCTTCTCAGCCCCGCACATACCTCTGGTGGCCCAAGGGGACTCGGGCACAGCCCTGAAACCTCCTCTTCCACCAGGTCCTGCCCCTTCCCATCCCCCCCATAATCTCCCCTCTCCGACAGCAGACACCTCCCGGGCCCAAAGCACTCCAGGTGGGGCAGTTCTCTACGAGGCTGGATCCCACTGGGGCCTCTTCTTCCAGGAAGCCTTGTTTATATACTTATTTAGCACCATCTCTCATCTGTAACTTCCTGGAGGACAGGAAAGACGGTGCAGTCAAGCTTAGAGCCAAGGGCCCTGCTGTACCAGAGCTGTGGCTTCGCCTGTTCCTACTGGATTCATTTCACTTCACTGACAACTAATTCTCTCAGCTGTAAAATGGGGATTATCCTGAACAGTTGGTGACTCGGCCCACCAGATTCACTGGGTGTTTGTGAGCATTAAATGTGCATGGACTGAGCGCCAAGTGTTGCTAGGAGCTCTGCAGTCCCCAGCAGCATCGTCACTTTGATTATCCCTCACTGGGTCTCCCTGACCCTGCAAACGCTCAAATACGTTGCTAAATTTCATAGGATCAAGTTGGTCCCTTATCCCGCGTGAGACCTCCCCACTGGCTTGCACACCATATCTGAGCTTTCCATCTCTGGGGCTTCAGACGAGCAACGGAAGCAAACCAACTAGCTAGTTCTTTAAACATTGGCACTTAAATGTATAAACCATTTGACAAACTGTCGTCTATGCATCAGGAAGCCCGGAAGACTCTACAGCTCCAGGTCTGTGGTAACTTGAAAGCTCCCAGCCCCACCCTTCTCTCCACCAGAGCCTGGGGCTTCTTGCTGCCTGAGCTGAAGTGTGTGTCTGGGGCCGTGGAGTGTCCTTATTTAGGCTGCAGCTGGGCCCCTGTGTGTATCCCTGCCCAGGCGGGGGGAGAGGAAGCGGGGAGAGCCTCCCAGAGAAGAGATCCCAGGAACCGAAGAAGAAGAAACGCTTCCTACCAGGAAGCAGAGAGTGGGGGGAACCAAGGCTAGAGCTCAAAGGAGAAAAGAGGCCGGCTTGGCTACTGCTAGCCTCAGATGTCTGAAATAACCGCGTGGGAGCAGACACCAGGGCATGAGGGCTGACGCCAGACGGGGAGGTGAAGGAGGCACAAGGGCCCTGTTTTGTGGTCCTGGAGACTAAGGCAAGGATGATCCTTCGAGGGCAGTTAGTTGCAGGGAGCCAGCCCCACAGATCCCCCAGTGCCAGGTCTCAGAGACTTTATGACTTATATGCATGAACAATTTTTGACAACATAACACATACATATAAGCATGGGTTGGTAAAAACTTGCAAAAACATGGGGAAAAAAAGACAGTAAATGGATAGCAAAAAAAAAAAAAAAAAAGGTGGAGGGTCTTTTCCAATGTAATATAATCATCCTAAATACAGGGAAAACAAGGCTGACCAACCCAGGCCCTGGGCAGATCCCCCACTCCCACAGGAAGGACTTCCACAAGGGGAGGTGCCCAAGTTGAACCTACAGACCAAGGGCAAGCTCTGCCTCCCTGGGGAAGCCCCAGGGAGCGGAAGGATCTGGGACTCGTCTCTGGATCCTGCGTCCCCTTCTACCCAGGACAATGGTCAGCTGGAGAGAACCCTCTGCTGGGGTCTCTCTGCTGTCCCACTTATCCACTGGCAGCCATCAAGGTTCTGAGCCCCCGGGTTGGGGTCACCGATGAAGGCAGGACCAATCCCCCACCAATGCCATGAAAAGACCTCAGCTCCTTCTAATCTGCCCCTTCTTAAAAAACTGAGGAGGCAACACATATGGTTTCTACCTTGCCCGCAGAAAGAACCCTAGACTGCCCTCCAATGTTCTGTGCCCATCTGGCCCTTCCAGCCAACCACAGGGGATCAACCTTGCTCCCCGGCATCAGAAGTGTCCCCATACCCCATACACCCAGCTGGTCATTCTCCTGATCATCAGGCAAGATGGGTGAAATAGAAGGCACTTAGTCTGGTTCAGAACAGGTGGAGGGCTGGGGGAAGGCTGACAGAGCAAGTGGGACATGCTGGTAGGGATGCGACTACAAAAATACTTGTAGAAAATAAGCCAAATGGTCACGGAAATGGAGAAAATGCTACACGCAATGTTAAGGGTTGCCCGCAAACCTGATTGATCTCACACATATCAACTCTCCCTCTGCTCAGGGAGGAGGGAGTTGCAGGAGGAAGACCAGACCCAGAGATAGAGCTGCCCTGAAAGAAGGTGGAGAAGAGAAAGGACTCCCCCATTCTAATACCCAGACCAGCAAAAATGTCCACCCAGCTTGCTAGTGAGGGTTGAGCAACTTGTACACACTGGACTGGGCGGTGGGGACATCAGGCAACAGTGCATCCAGTGGCATTCATGAACTTCCCATAGACCCAAAATCCCCAAAGGAAATCCAGCTGCTAAACACCTAAGACCCTAATTACCCTAAGGAATCTGGTGTTTTCCATCTTGATTCCTAGTGTGACACAGGATCTGACCGTCTCATCCTCTCTCTCTTCCCTCCCATGTAATAACCATGCAGATTAGCAACTGGGATGGCTAAAGGATAGGCAGGCAACTACATTTTAAAGGCACTTTAATCAGAAAGAAATCTTGCAAATGCCCCTGCTAGTCTACCCTGTCAGCAAAACCTAGGCTTTCTCCTGTGACCTGAGTGCAGGGCCCACACAGCTGTTGGAAGTGACAATGGTGTTCACATAATGGTACTTACAAGTAGATGCTGGATTCATTGCCTCCCATGTCCGGAGACTGAAGTTTCTGCACCAGGATGATGATGATGCCAATGAAGAGCACAAAGTTAACCTGAAGAGCAAAGAAAAAGTAGATAGAAATGATTCTGGGCAAAGACTTTCCACACCCCTGCCTCTGCCTGGACTGTTACTGCCCCAACAGGACCCTCCACAATCCAGTCAAAATCCCTTCTAGACTTATAATCCAAGATGGTGGCATGAGAACACTCATTTACCTCACCACTTACTATTGCTAAAATGACAGAAAAGATAGAAGAAAAAGAATTTCATAGGAGTACTGAGGAATAGGGAAGATTATCATGAATGAGCCAGAAAAGTAGGCAATTTCTAGAAGAGAAAGAGCAAATAGGATCAGGGTGATGGAAAACAATACCAAACAGATAGAGAAGAGGCTCCTGCAGAGGTGGGAACTGTCCTCTGGAGAAACTCCAAGTTCAGAGTAATGGAACATGGGGAACAAGAATGGACAACCATAAGCATTATTAATTAAAGGACTGCCTGGGAATGGCAATAACAGCATTTACCTTCAGAGAAAGATCAGGGACAAAAGTCTCTCTAAACAGTGAAACGGGGGCGCCTGGGTGGCTCAGTTGGTTAAGCAACTGCCTTCAGCTCGGGTCATGATTATGGAGTCCTGGGACTGAGTCCCGCGTCGGGCTCCCTGCTCAGCAGGGAGTCTGCTTCTCCCTCTGACACTCCCCCTCTCATGCTCTCTGTCTCCCATTCTCTCTCTCAGATAAATGAATAAAATCTTTAAATAAATAAATAAATAAATAAACAGTGAAAAGGGGGGGAGGACGGGGAGCAAATAAATAGAAACAAGGCACAAGGAGAGGACCACAAGGCAACAGCCTCCGAATGTAGCCAAAGCAGCTACAGCTGGAGAAAAAAAATGTAGAGCTTGACACTAACTTATGAAAAAATAATAAATACTGAAGATAAAACAACTAAGCATTCAAATCAAAAGCTAGGGGGAAAGTGCCACACATTTTACTTTCACAAGAAGGGAATTAATAAAGATAAAAATTCATTATAAAAAATAGGGGGAAAAGTGGAGTTGATCAATGAAAACTTTATTTCGGGGTCTAGTTTTGTTGGTTTGTTTCCACATGCTCCACAAAAGCACTTCTCTCAGGCTTCTACCCCACCACAAGCCCAGTGCCTGACCAGTCCCGGGAATTCAGCACAGTGCCTGCTGCTCAGTGCACAGGTTAGTCAAATCCAAAAGGAGAAAATACCATTAAATAAATTTAGGGATGAGAATGAGGACAAGACAACAGATGTATAGAATATTTTAAATCATAAGAGAAAATCAAACAAAATGGGAAAATAGAAAGAAACAAAATCAAATCAAGAAGATGTAGAAAATCTGAGTAGAGAAATGACCTTAGGAAAAATTTAAAAAGCAATCAAAGATGTGTGCGTTAAAAGGCATCGGGCCCAGATAACTTTACAGACCAGTTTCCTAACACCTTTAGGGAAGATGTCATTTACAGACTACTTCATTGTTTAAAAGCAAATAAAAGACAACCTCACAAATTGCTTATCAAGCTAACAAAACTCTGCTACAACAAAGAAAACATACAAATAGACACACACACACACACACACACAACCAGAGAACTTACAAAGAGCAATGCAAAAACTATAAACCAAATATTAACAAATAGAATTTAGTAGTGCATTAAAAGAACAAACAGATCATCGTCATAAAGGCTTATATAAGAAATGCAAAAAAAAAAAAAAAAAAACTCAAAAACAAAACCCAAAAAACCTAAATCTACTAGTATTTCTTACATTAACATATTAAAACAGTGAGCTACCCTTACCCCATAAGATTGGTGAATAATTCAATAATCAAAACATCAACAAAGACATGAGAAATGAACACTCTTGTATTCTGCTCATTTGATATCTATGAAAATGTTAAATGTACATACCCTTGTCCCGGAAATTCCACTCCTAGAGATTTATTCTAAAGACATATTCACACATACTCAGATATGCATGAATATATCCATCGCAGCATTGTTCAGAAGAAGAAAAATTGGAAACTGTAAAAGTCCATCACTAAGGGAAGGGACCACTCCAATAAATGTTTCCAAAACACATTTGATTTCCTGATTTTTAAAATACGCACTAAAATGAGCCAGGATTAGAAACTTTCCTAATTCAATGAAGAATGACTGCTCAAACCTATATAGCAAACACCATTCTTATGACCCCTAAACCAAGGAATAGGGATGCCTGGGTGGCTCAGTCAGTTAAGCATCTGGCTTCAGCTTCGGTCATGATTCCACGGTTCTGGGATCGAGTCCCACATCGGGCTCCTTGCTCTGAGGGAAACCTGCTTCTCCCTCTGCCTGCCACTCCCCCTTCTTGGGCGCACTCTCTCTCTCTCTCTCTTTGACAAATAAAGAAATAAAATCTTTATAAAAAATAAAATAAAATAAAACCAAGGAATAAATGGTATAAATACTGGAAAGAGTAAAACCATTTTCATATACAGATAATGTCATTTTCCTCCTGGAAAACGAATCAGAACCAACTGAAAAGGGACAAGAACTACTAAGAGTTTAGAAAAGTAACCAAGAAAAGAAAAAATGCACAAAAACAAACAGCTTCCCTATGCACCAGCCATAACCCACTAGAACATACAATGACAGAATGAGTTCCAGGCACAACACACACCCAAACTGGAAAACACTTTAAAGGTAAATTGAACAAGACAAAGGAAAAGCTGTACAAAATGACTCTACGGGAAAGACTGAATAAATGGAGAATCAGGCCATGTTCTTGGAGAGGAAGACTCCATATTTTAAGAAAATCACTTCTCCAAATTAATTTATAAATTTAATGCAATTTCTCTAAAAACCTCAACCACACTCTTTTTGTAACTTGACAAGGATATTTGACAGTTCACCTGAAAGAGTGAATGTACAAGAAAATTTTGAAGGAAAGAAGAATAAAGAAGGGGATATTAACATACCAGATATCAAAACCTGCTACCAGGTTATAATAACTAGCACGAGGGAGCATTCACTGTGGAAACAGCCAAACAGATTAGTAACATAGCATAGAATACAAGTAGACTATACTGAATGCTCATGATAAAGTGACATTTCAACATAATTGAGAAACAAGGGTCTATTTAATAAAAACAATTTTAAGGGTGGAATGTCTATCTACTGGGAGAAAAAGAAACTAAAGATGATTAGATATCATTTCAGATCAAAGAAATAAAAATTCAGCTAGATTCAGAACATATCTATAATAATCCAATCCATAAACATGTTATAAAACAACTAAGGATACCTTTATGTCTTAGGATTGGAAAAGCCTTCCATAATAAGAAATAAGTTTCAGAATTTACGAAGACAAAGCCTGACAGGTTGTATAAAATTATGCAGACTTGAATATATACTTACAACATGCTTAACAGATAAAGCATTACTATCTTTCAAACAATTAGAAAGACAATTGAGCAAAGCAAGCAAAAGAGAAATGAGCAAGAGAAATACACAGGTAATAATCAGAATAAAAACAAATTGTCAATAAATGTTTGGGGAAAAGTACCTCACTGCACTAGCAATATGGAGAAATTCACATTAAAACAATGAGCTACCATTATCCCCCAGGAGCCTGTGCAAAAATTTAAATGACTGATGTTATAAGCACAGACAATGATAAGAGGTACGCTTTCCAACCCATCAATTCCATTTCTAGAGATTTAATCGAAAGGAATGCTCATGCTCAAAACAATGCACAGAATTGCTCCTAGTAGCATTTTTCATTATGAGGAAAAATGAGAAAATATAAATGTCCAACACATTTAACTAGTGTGTCCATGTTGCCAAATATAATGTAGCCAGGAAAAAGGAGAAGGCTGGCTTGTGCAGTAACCTCTGTATTTGTCTCCTTCTCCTGCTTTCTGCCCAGGCCCCCGTCTCTTCTTCATCCTTGTCCCAAGGATACTCACCATTATAGAGCCAACCACAGGGCCTTTGATCACCCACCACAGAGCTGTGTTGTCATTCATATCCCAGCAGCTGAAAGACAGACAGATGGAGAGAAAGAAGAGAGATTAAGCTCAGGTCTGGGATGCCTGCAAGCCAATGCCCCCGGGCCCACTGTGGCTCTTTGCCCCTGCAGCTCTCTGACCAGGGGCTGGCTGGAAAGAGAGTTTTCAGGCATGCTCAGACCCAAGCCCAGTTCTGGTTCTTCTAGTGCCTTGGTCCTTCCCTCTGCTCCCTGTCAAAGCAGGGAGTGAAGCCCCATAGTTAGAATCACCAGTGGGCTCCTGGGCAAGGGCCATGTTCCCCCTTCAGGACTGTGAGGGTGTCACCTCACCCTCGACACCCTTCCTCCCCTCCCTAAAAGGAAAACAGACACTCAGAGCTGGGCCCAGAAATACAGAGAGACTCTGAAAACCTTGCACATTCTCACTAGGTTCCGGCTGAGATGTGGCTGGGTGGGTCCACCCGTGGTGCGATCAGGGTGCCGGCAGGGGCTGGGGACGGGCAGCCACTGAGACCCATCTGTAAGAACCTCCTCGGGGCTCTGGCCCAGGCTCTTGGGCACATACTCACCCTGTGTCATCGAAGTAGAGCCTCAGCATGGCCCACACAGACACACACACCGTTGGGGTCCCTGGGAGAACAAGAAAAGGAGCCTGGTGATAACAGGAAAACCAACAGGCCCTAGGGTCCCCTCAGATTTGTCCCCCAGTCAAACAGGGGGTTCTGACCCATGGGGCAGGTCTCCCTTTCAGACCTGGAGTCTTGGGGACCCTAACTGTCCCTCACACCTGTGCCTCCTGGGGATCCATGTATCCGCCAGGCCTTTGGCTATCTTACTTCTCAGGATTCCGGAGCATATCACATCTTCCAGACAGTGGGTTTTCTATGGGCAGGAAGAGCAAGAAAGGGCCCAAGAACCGGAGGTGTGGCATCCGCTATGGGACAGGACAGCACCTCCCTCCTCTAACCTAACACCCCCTGACAGCAGCACCAAGGACATACCTGGCCATGAGGCCTGAGTCTGTCCAGGCCACAGCCAGCGACCTACCCCAGCCTATAATGATGTACCAGTAGAAGTATCTCCTCTCAGGAAAGAAGGTCTCCACTAGCAGGGTGAAGAGGTACAGACCCTCGATGAACAGCCAGAAGTAGTTCGACACGACACAGTAGTGGAAGAAAACCATTATGGCCTTGCATTCCACCTGCAGAGAGGGTGGGGAGGGTGAGGGAGGCAGGAAGCTCCCTCCGCTGGCCCCCACCCAGCCCTGAAAATCCCACCCAGCAGGAGCAGGGAGAATCCTGAGGGCCCTTCAGCTCTGGCATGCTTGGGCTCAAACATCCCATGGATCTGAAAGACTCCACAATCCTGGATTCGAAGAGTTAAAAATGGCAGCATCCTATGATTCTGAGTCGAAGCTGCCCATGGAGGCAACTCTACAAGTGTCAGAAAAGGATGGGGGTAGGGTGAGCATGGGGCCCGCTCCCCTCCCTAGGCTCATTCTCCCCTAACTTTCCTGCTCCTTCTCCAGCCCCTCCAGGTAAGGGGAGTACAGAGGACCCCGCAGGAGGCTCCTAAGTCAAATGAAGATTTTAGACATCAAGGGGGAGACTCCCGGTCCGCAGAAATCTCAGACAGATCCCCCTGCGCCCTCCACATGTGCCCTCTTGGGTCAAGATCCTGTGCTCTGGGCTGTTCTTTCCATCTTATTCCATCAAAACCTGTCTCCTCTGCTTACCTCCAAAGGTATGAGAACTGGGGAGATGGTCTGGAGAGACCCAAGCCAAGCAGCCCCTCGGCTCTGCCACGGGTTAGTTAAATGACCAGGGGCCCAGAAAACCCTCTCTCTAAGCCTAGTTCCCTTCTTGGGCAAGCGAGACTTGGCGTTTCCACCCGACCCTCCACATCTGCTCGGCCAAGTACATACACAGACTGAGGGACAGGAAAGGACATGGAGCAGGGGTCTCGCCGGTTACTAGCAACTCATGGTCATTCCCGGATTTCTGCATTCACTAGGGACAATGCCTTCACCTTCAGGAGAACACCTGGATGGTGGGGGGAGGGGGGATCACAGGGAAGGGAGCCCCGGAAGGGCCTTCCCACCAGGGGTCAGCGCACTCACCGTGGAGATGAAGCAGTGGTTGTTGTCCTGTTCCGCATAGAGGATCCAGTCCTTGATGAAGACGGAGATGGCCCTCAGCATGAATGACACGAACAGGTTCATGTGGATGAAATTGCGGGTGCAATGTAGCTTCCTAGGCCAGCAAGCCGGGGGAGGGAGAGGCCTTGAAGCAACAACCCCACAGCAGCCCCTCCTCCGCTCCGAGGTCTGCTCCGGGCCAACTCCACGGCTCTGTCTCAGGGGCTCCCCACCTTCCCACCTCCTTCCCACCCCTCTAAATCCTCACTCACTGCCAGGCCTTTGTTGCCTGGCTCCACGACTCCGAGAGACCAGACCTTCCCCTCCTGTGGCCTTGGTCCATCTAGACCAGGAGGATAAACGTGAGGCATGGAGGTCTCCTGCCCAGGGTCCGTCCATGGCCCTGGACAGGTCAGCTGCCCTCTCTCAGATCGAGTTTCCCATCTGTTATCAGAGGGGTGGGGGAACTGCCTTCTAAGGGACCTCCAGGGCTGACATCCAGGGGAGAAGGCAGGGGCGGGCGGGACACAGCAAGGGCTCTGAGCTAGGGGCTGCTGCACTGGCTCGAACGCTGCTGGTATGTGTCGGGGGGTCCTTACCGGAAACGACACAGGATGACCATGGCAGTGGTGAGGGTGACAAGGGATGTGCTGTAGCCAACTGTGTACAGCGCCTTGACTGACAGGTAGTAATAATCCTGGAGCAAAGCACAAAACGTCCAGGGCTCCACGTGGGGCTTGCCCCAGCCCCCAGCGCCCTCGGGCCAGGGCCTGCCCACCCCAGGGGTCCACCACCCAGCTCCTCCCTCCTCTCTTCTCCTCTTGCTGATCTCACCTCCTCCTCTCCCCGCTCAGTGCCTCTACTACCCTGCCCCCCACCCCATCCCCCATGAGCTTCTTCCTCCCCTCCACAGTGTCTGTACTCTGCCCATGCTCGGGAAATGCTTGCTGAACGCAAGGGCACTGACCAATCAGATCAGGCATCAGCCTTAGCCTGAGAAGCTCCCAGGAGGCCCCCCGCTGGGCCCTGCCTCAACCCTTCAGTTGCTGGGCCACAGGAAGGATGCGTGTCCTGGAAGAGTAGCCAGGGAGGTAGGGGCCATGTAGTGGGGGCTGGGGGAACTCAGGAAGCAAGGCAGATGCTTCTTGGCCCAGAACGAGTGAATGAAGGCCTTGGTCTCTGTGCATCTGGCTTGGGTACACAGCAGGGACTCACGTGCTGCCTAGGGACGCGTAGGCCCAACAGGAGCCAAGGCCTTTGGTGGGGACACCCGGTCACCAGCCTCCTCAGCCCTACCCCCGCCACCTCCCCGTGGGGACAGCCACTCACCTGGTCCCCAGGCTCGTATTCATCATAGTCATCAAACCCACACGCGTCTACATAATGAGGGAACGGCTCTGACCATCCATCCTCAGTGCAGTTCCGGCTCACCACCCTCACGTCTGCAGTAGAACAAAAACTCAGTGGGGCACGGGAATGATTTAAGAAAACCCTGCAATTCTTACTTGAAATTTACTTCTTAAGTGAGAATTTCTAGAAACCCATACGCGCATCTGGGAAGCACAGTGATTAAAGGTTCATGAAATTTTGCCCCGTCCGCGGGAACATAGGAATTGCTGGTGACCTCAAGCTCAGCCTTTACACGAAGGACACTGGGGAGGACAAGGCACAGCTGATCTCTTAACAAGGGCTGAGGGGACTGGGCCTCCCTCTCTTCTGGAACTGGCAAACGCTCACTGACGAAAGGCCTGAGCCTCTTCCCTAGGCCCTGGGTCAGCACTTGTCAAACGTCGGTGAACAGAGATGAATGATGTGTGATCACCATTGCGGACTCCAGCCGCCAGCGCACTCCAACCCTGGGATTCTGGTCCAGGAGTCAACTCAGGTGACTCTGGAGCCGGAGTGCCCCTCAAACATCAGGAGCTCTGAGCCTTGCAACAGCTGCAAGATCCCGCACCAAGGGGATACATGCATGGCTTGCTTGATTAACAAGGACCAGACCTCCATTAACCTAGAGCCAGATCTTATTAAGATACGTATTTAGGTTTAAAAAAAAAAAAAAAAAACTTTCATCTTCCCAGGTTTAGAGGTCTGTTTCCTGTCACTAATGTACTTTAATTTCCTTTTGATAGACTGTAAAGGCCATTTTGTAGGACACCAAAGGGGAAGGAGTCATTTACGGTCTGTAGGGTGGAATCTAGATTGGTTTTGGCCCCGCCTGGGGCCTTTTAGCCTTTAAATGATTGCTCATTTTATCTTCCCCTCTCCCGATTGTCTGTAAGGGTGAACCACGGCCATCCCGTGGAGGGGAGAAGGCAAGCAACCCCCTCTGCCTCCAGCCCTGGACTGTGGCCCCAGACCGACCCCTGTTCCCAGACTGGCTTCCTGGGAGTTTACCTGTTATCTTAGGGCACGTGGCAATGGTTCTTTCTTTCACAAGATTCAGGGGCCAGGAACTTGTGTAAAACAAGACACTTCCACAGAAAAGGAGCTCCAGCACCCATGTTGCTGGAAAGTTCCCCCTGCTGTGGCCAAGGCCACCTCTGGGGAGGTTGGGAAGGAGGCAAGGGCAGAGGCCAAGACAGGAAACCCCTCTACTTTTCCAACCCCGTGTCCTCGCCAGCTGAGTTGGAAGAGCTGAGGCCAAGTCATTTCTTGCCAAGAGAGTCAGAAACACACTTCCTGGGACTCTGGGAAGAAGCAGAGGGTGAGTGACCCTGCCACAGAAGACAGCTCTGCCCAGAGTGGGGAGACTACTGGTCTCTACCGCTTCTCGAATTTGGAGTCCTGTGACATAGGACAAGGAGGATGCCTGACAGGCCCAGGGAGAGAAGGAGTCAATTCTGTCCCCCATTTTGATGCCAAATTCCTCCTTCTTCCAGCAAATCCATGTCAGGCTGTTACTAGCGACCTCCTTCCAAGTCCCTCTGAAAGTCTGCATGTCCCGGGGGAGTCATGGCCTTGGCCAAGTCCCCTCCCATTCCTGGGCCTCCTCTCCTCTCTGCTTTGCCCACAGCAGGGTGGTGGGAAGAGGAAAGGGAATCTGTTTTGAAAAGCAATTATTTAAAAGTGTCCCAGAGGTAGAAGCCATTTCCTTTCTTTTATTTTCCTCCTTTCTCTGTTTCTTTTTATAAGACAGTGTGGGCACAGAGGCATATAAACCTTTTTGTTCAGAACTATTCCACGAATTTGCCGCTCTATTGTTCTGATGGAAATCTCCAGAAGATGGAGTACTCTCTAGATTGTCAAAACCTTGCCGTGACTGTGCCCACTTCACTAGACTATTTTGCCCCAGCAATTTCGTAGGAGCACAGGATTTTAGGGCACTGGTTCTCAAAGTGGGCACCCTACCCAGACAAGCCCATCAGCATCACTGGGAAGACTGGCTAGATATGCACATTCTCAGGCCCCACCCCAAGCCCACTAAATCAGCGACTCTGGGGGCGGGGAATCCGAGTTTTAACGAGCCCCCTAGGTGACTGAGGTCACACTGAAAGTCGGAGAACCACCGTTGCACCTGGGAGTTCCAAACCATCAGGGGTCATCGAATCCAGGGGATTTGTACTTGGAGTCCACAGTGTGGCTTCGAGAGATCTGTGCTCCCAGAAATTGTACACACAACGTTCTGTCTGAGCACGTGAGTGCAAGTTTCTGTGGAGAAAATCCACAGCTCTTCCAGAGATCACACAGCCACAGAAAGGCCCTGCTTGCCCTGGAACGGGGCCCCCAGGCTCCCGTGTCAGCACATGCCCTCCCTCCAGCCAGCCCATGGTGGGCCCCAGTTTATCCCCTCACCTGAGAGATCCAAGGAGTTACTGTCAGGGAAATCGAACTCCCCTGCAAAGCACAGAAGTGGGCATGAGTCAGCACGCACAGTCATCAGCATGCCAGGGCTGTGCGTGGTGTACTCTCTACCCTGGAAGGTCAAGGCCATCCCTGGTCTGAAGGACAGAGGTGGGGTCTCAGCCAAAAGGCTGCAGCACACACAGCAGCCACACACCTTTCTCTCTCACACACACACACACACACACACACACACACACCGTGCCTTCTGGCATCAATCCCATTTGCTCTGTACTTCCGTGATGCTGATGATGGCCCATGACTCAGTTCTCCCCACTGGGCCACAGGAAGTGGAAATGGGATATCGTCAGGAAGGTGGGAGGGCCTCCAGACTGGGAGAGGAATGGAAAAGGATGACTGGGCCTTTTCCAGAAAAAGGCAGGAACAGCAACATGGGTCCTGGACTTGGGTTTCTTCTTGGGTCTACAAGCCTCCATCTCAGCCCCCAACTCTCTAATCCAAGGGAGCCCAGGACTTCATCCATGGACATTTTTTCTCTCTCTCTCCTGACTCTTTATACCACCTCCATCCTTTTCTTATGACGAACCCCCTGCTAGCAATGAGCCCTCGTTTCCTTTCTACTTCTCAAAATCCTCTGTTTCCAACACATAGCTGACATGCCACCCCCTCCAAGAAGCCTCTCCTGACCTTTTCATTACCCTGCCTGCATGCTGCATATTTAGTTCTCTCAAGCTTGCCCTCCATTCCAGTGTCAAGGCCACTGAGGATGTCAGTATCTACACGGGCTCACACACACATTCAGGCCTGTACAATGCTCATTTTCTATCCCATCCACCAGTGTGTCTCAGCCTCCCAAATCAGCCCATGAGCACCCCGAGGCCAAGCGCTATATCGTCCATCTGCCTGTGTCCCCCACCTCCCCAGATGGCTAAGGGCAGGCGGTAGGGGTGGGGAATCTGGTCCCTGAGGAGCCTCTCATGCCACCCCCACCCATTCCCAGCAGTCAGAACTGGGCTCCCGCTGGATGGACAGATGGACAGATGATCAGCAGCCTGTCCTCTCCAAGGTTCCTCTTACCAATGGTTTCTAGCTTCCACACTGAAACAGAGAAAGAGAGAGAACCCAGAGGTGAACGAGGGAGCTAGAGTTGGGTCTGCTCTCATTGGGTCCTGCTGAATTCCTCCCTCCCCCACTCCCCATGCCCAAACTCTGCCGGGGACCCAGGGGCATGAGGACTATAGGCTGGGGGTGGGCCAGACACGGGAGACTTCTACCGCTCCCTCCAGAATGCGACCCAGCTGCGGAGAGATGAGTAGAGGCATTTGAGAGGAGGAGGGGAGCTCAGGGCCCCTGTATCTTCAGTAGCCTGCAAAGCAGCAACTACTACAGCAAACACATTCGGCCCTGGGAGCCACGACATAGAAGGAGAAACGCCATTCTCAACTTTCTCAGCATGTAAGGCAAGTCTCACTAATCCAGCTTTGTGAACAGAGACGCTAAAGGGCCCTGCCTTAATGAGCCATTAAGGATCAGGTGTAAATAACACATTCATGGTGCAGTTGCCAAAGGGAGGGACAGAGTGTGAAGGAAAGTTTTCCTTAAAATCTTAGTTCACCACTGAGTCATTTTGCCTTTTTGGTTGTTGTCGAAAAGAAGCAGTCTCGTCATGGTACCTGACACAAAGTAGATGTTCAAGAAGCCTCAGGTAAATGATGAATGAGAGGAGTACATGAATGGAGGAAGTGGGGAAGGCGGTTTCCATAGGAATGCAGCAGGATGTGGCTGAGTCACCAGCTGCCACCGCACCGAGGCCCCCCATGCACACTGTACCCCGAGTTTGTCTCTGATTCCAAATTCACTTCCTGTCTGGCTCTGGGGCCACACCCAGCCCCCCAGCTGTCAGGATGGAAGAGCCTAAAGCCATCCTCCTTCTGGGCTGGCAGGTCTGGAGGTGGGAGGTGTGGCTAAACAACCAGAAGGGGAAGTGGGAGGAGGAGAAGGGAGGCATCTTAGCTAAACCTTGCCTCCCCTGGTCTTCGGATGGGGCCCTGCACCCCAACATACTGCCCCTCTCCCCTCTGCCACCTCCCACAAGCACCTGCCCCTCCAGGCAGAGTCCCGGTTGCTAGAGTTCCAGAAGTGAAAGAGAATATGCCTTCTGCCTCTCCTAGACAGGTTGGAGGATGGAAGGAGGCAGGACTCCATAGTGGAGTGGAGTTCGAGCACTCTCCAGGTCTGGAAGGACACTGGCCTAAGCCTTAGGTAGGTGAAAGAGGAAGCTGAAGACCAGGTCACAAGGTCCTGTGCATGAGCACACAAGTGACTCAGATGTCTCTAAACCCCTCAAGAGTCCCTGCCGTCCATCCTCCCCTAAACAAGGCCCCAACCCAGGGCTCAGCAGTCAGTGGGGCGGTTCTCAGGACATCACCTGCCTGAAGCCCAGCCCTGCCTAACTTGGTGTCCTGCTTCCCTCCACAGCCACAAGGAGTGGGGTGGAAGACCAGGGTCCAACTCTAGGCCCTTCCCAGAGTTAGGGCAGTCTGGCTGGAGAGCAGCCCTTCTTAGGAGTCTACAAGGTCCCAGCTGAAAGGTGGGAACTGGCCTAGAGAGGCCAGCTCACACCCGAAGAAGAGATCTGCACGAACCCCTCTTTGTCAGACCCTTCCCCTTGGAGATGTGGTCATTAAGGCCTTGTGCCTTTTCTCAGAGCACTGCCCCCCTCACTTCTGCCCCCTGTCCCGACATCCTGAGTCACACAGCTCAGGCACTGCCCACCCCTAGGACTCTCAAATGGGTCTGGGGCCCTGAATATCTCCACAGCACATCAGTGGCCCCCCCGAGACCTCAAACACAGACATGTCCCAAGCTGAGCTCTTTGTGATACCATACCTAGGATCTAAGTGGGTATGCGGGTGTGGACACGGGTGAGTGTCTTGTGCCCAGCTGCCTGAAGGCGTCTCATTGTGTGTCCATCTTTGGGTATCTCTCTGGGCCTCTGAGCATCCCTGTATGTGTGATACTGATAGTAACACCAACTAACACTACTGACCATTAAAATGTGCCAAGACCTGGGCTACCATGTGCATTCCTCCACACGATTCCCCAGTCACTATGCCACATTGCCATTTGACAGACCAGGGAATGGGGGGCAGGGGACAGAGGGGTGAATTGCCTCATTCAAGGTCCAAATTGGGTAAGTGACAGAGCCCACATCCAAGGGCACAGCCTGGCCTCACACCCAAGGGCGCATCTCGACATCACCCTGGGAGCCATGTCTGCAGGTGCTTCCATGTCCCTGTGCGGACCATGGTCTATAGTTTCATGCTCCCACTAGCATGGGAGCTCTGGAACAGGGAATACTGGCCTGCAGGGGGCCCCAGGTCCTTGGTACTTGGGTCCCAGGAAGGCCTGGGGCCCAAGTGTGGGGAGCAGATCAGACCAATCATGGCCTAGGGAAGCCCCAGGGGGAAACTCACCTTGGTCTGGGTTGAAGATTCGGAAGAGTTCAGGGCAACTGACCAGGACCATCTCACCCACGCGGGCAGGCTTCCAACACGTGAGGTTGTCCCACATCCCAGGGCAGCCTGTGCAGGAGAGAACCCTGGTGAGAGGGGGCCCCACCCCCTGCCTGCACAGACACTGCCCACACCACACACATTCGGGTGGGCACACACACCCTGGTGAGCCAGGCCCTTGCAGGGGGAGGGAACGGTTTCAGGGAGAGAAGGTGAGGCTCACTGTGTGAGGCAGGGCTCAGCCTCATCCCTGGAAGACCCATCAAGGAGAAGCTGGACATTTCAGGAGCTCCTGGGGTGGAGAGGGAGCTCTCACCTAACTTTACATCTCCCACAGCCCCACGGTGCTGGAAGGATTGTGGGGAAGGGAGAAGCAGGCCAATACCAGGCCAGGGCGGGATCACTAAGCATGAGATGTTGGGGGTCTTTGGAGCATCCTACCATCACCCCACACCAGCTCCCCCTAGTCCTCCCAGCCTCTGCCATCATTATGGGGTCCAGCTTCAGCTCGGTCTCCTCGGTGGGCCCTCCCTGCCCCTAGGGGAGGGCCAGGAACTGGCTGGCCTAAGGGTCCTGCTCCAGGCCCGCACCTGCCTTCCAGATGGCGAGGCTCTGAGACTTGGAGGGCGAGCAGCAACCGCCCGACGGGGAGGAGGGGAATGCCGTCCAGGCAGAGGCCTGCATGGCCAAGGCCCAGGACTGTGAAGGGACGCAGAGCCCAGAGACAGAAGAGGCCCGTGCTGCGGTGGCGCAGGCCCAGCTTAGGCGAGGCAGAGGGCTGGAGGGGGAGCAAGGACAGACCGAGGGGTGTTTAGGAATCATCAAGACTTGGAGCCTCGCTGGATATGCGCTGCTGGGAGCAAGAGAAGGATGACAAGCTTGACGACCAGGTATTACTTTGGGGGCTCAGCAGACCCTCCTGCCCCTCTGCCTACCATGCAATCTCTCTCTCCTTCCAGCCTCGGCCAGCCTCGCCTGGAGCTCTCTGCAACCCCCGTGGCCACTTCCTCACCTCCCTTCGTGCTCCACCCCTTCCTCTGGCTCTATCCCTCCTCTTCTCTCCGCTGAAATGCCTCTGGCCACCAGCTGGCCACCTCTCCACCTTCCCTAACTGGGCCTGAACACAGACACTGGCGGCTGCCCTGCCCCAGCGCCTCACCCCTCCCACCTCGGACAGGATCACTGGCTCATGGACTTAGGGACAGAGCTACACACAGACAACCCCCGATCCTGACACCTGCACTCCCTGAAAACAGCCTCCCGTGGCTGGGTATCCCCACCATGAAAGGCCCGAGGTAATCCAAACCCAGCCTGTCCAAGACTCAGCTCAGCATCTCCCACTAGAGTCCCATTTCCTGTCTCAGCCCCAGCTAGACAGACTTGAAGCCACTTCGGCCCCTCTGGCCAAGCTAGTAGTCTTCAGGCTTTAGCAAGCTCCCTTAACCCATGTGATTAACTAAACCTTTCTTTGTATACCTATAGATGACACATTCTTTCCTAGAAAGAACACAGTCCTTGTGCAGCAGTCACCAGACTCTCCTGTATGACCTCTGAGCACCCCGATAACATCTGCAGCTGGCGTCTGTGGTGGGCACGCAATCAAGAAATGTTACAGACCACTGCACTCCCTTAACTGATTAACTGCCCTAAACCCTTTAAAAAAATCTCTGGGCCGGCAGAAACCTGAGAGTCGGCCTTTGGACAAGAATGCCTTCTTCCCAAGTGGCCGGTGTCCTGAATAAAGCTCATATTCCTTTCCAAGCAAAACTCATCTCTTGAGTATTGGCTTTTCGAACAAAGGGCAGCCAAAGTTGGGTTTCAGTAATAGACCGCCCTTGCTATGTCTCCTCCTTCTTCTCCCATATCCAACTGGCCACCATGTCCTGCCGGTCTGACCTCCAGGTATTTGTGAAATCCATGCCCTATTCTCCATCCCCCTACCCCCACTGAGTTAAGGGGTAAACTACCTTTTACTAGCACCATGGTCTCCTCACTTGACCCCACAAGGCTGTGACAGTGATCTTTTCAAAAGGAAAATCTGGTCGGGACATCCAACCCACCCCCAGCAGTGCACACCCTTTCAGAGAACCTACCTCAAGTCCTCAACATGGCTCCCAAGGCCCAGGCCTTGCCTCCCTCTCTGGCACATGGGGAGGGGGTGAGGCCCTGGGAAAGGGCATGAAGTGAGAAGGGCATGGAGAAGGGAGCCCCAGGGAACCCCACATTTATCAGGTGGGCAGAGGAAGTGCATGCGGTGATAGAATTCCTAAGGGGGGGGCAAAGGCGGAGGAGGGAGGCAGCCACGTGGAGGGTCTGATGGCAAAGTACAGTTTCAGGAAGGGACCCACATCCTGCTGAGGGGTCTGTAAACATGGGCTTTGGAGAGGCTTCTTTACCAGATAAAGGACAATCAGCGGGTGACTGAGAGAGTGTCCCACCTCCCAGAGCTGTCCTGAGGATTAATGAATTCATACATGTAAAGCTCTTAGAACTCCAGGCTCACTCAAAGCATGGTCACTGCTGTTATTGGCATTAATTTCATTATTTCAGTTAGGTGTCCCTGAGAATCATTCCCCTGAGAGAGGCCCAGACAAGGAGATGAAGCAGAGCCCTGCAAGGTGAGGAGAAATTCCAGTGGAGTGCCACCAACCGGTCACAGAGGATGCCTGGGCAGGCTCTAGGCAGGGCAAGGGGGCCTAGGGCAGGCCTCATGGGCTCCCAGCCTCTCTGCTGGGGTCCATGATGGACTTACGGGTAGCCTTTGGACAAGAAGGCACCCCAAGCTTCCAAATGCAGAAAACCTGGTCTCTCAGAATTCAGACCTGGCTATTTTGGAATTCACACCCAGTCACATTGACCTATGGTCTCCTGGCTCCTGGGATGACCAAGTTTGGGAGCTGGAAGCACCATTGAAAACTCAGAGGGTAACAAACCAAGAAGACAAGGACACCAGGGCCACATGAGGGGAGCAGCGTCCCAGGTCTCACAGCAGTAGCCAGTTATTGCTGATTCCTGCCCACCCTTCACAGCAGGAAACCAGCTGGCACGTGGCTGGTTATGACGTCATGTCCTTGAAAGAGACCCAATGGCACATCTTTGGCTGCCGTGGTCCACGAAGACCAACCGTGGAACGGCCATGGAGCAGGGCTGTGTCTGGCCCGTGCCCTAGAAGCCCCAGCCAACAGATACTCCCAAAATATGGAACATTAGGCCCTGGCACAACCAGCTGCTGCAGCCAGCTGACGTTCCTCAGGGCACTTCAGATAGAGGGAGCATGCTCCCGAGGGTTGAGGTGCAAGGAAAGATGCAGGCCCCAGGCAGAGATGCCGTGAGGGGAGCTGGGGGCTCCCAGGTTGGAGGGCAGAGGCATAGAGACATGGTGGAGAATCCATGCTCTTAGCAACTACTTACTCAACACCTGCCCCACCTCCCGCACCCATCAGGCCCGGGGCCACAGTGGGGCAGAAAACAAATTTGAGAAGTTTGCCGTGAGGGCAGAGGAAGCAGAAGGGCACCTGCATGTCCCTTCAGCACCTGCAAGACAGCCTGAAGACTTGAATTTGGGTTGACTTCTGCCAAGGGCTCACTTCATGACTCTGACTCAGTTTCCCTGTGTGCACTGCAAGGGCAGGGTGTCTCTGAGCATATGCCCAACTCTGGGTGACCAGAGCTCAAGATTCACTCACGACCTGCTGGTGCCCAGAAGGGTGGCTAGGGAGTCCGGGGCTGAACTCTCTGACCCCACTGCCAAGACAAACATCTCCCAAGGGGTACCTGCCAAGGTGCCCCACCCTACCCCATGGCCTGCCACGCTATAGGAGCCCTCCTGTTGCCCTCCTTAAGTTCCCAGCCTGGTTCCCCTCCAGGGACTAAGGTTCCTAGGGGCAATTCCTCCAGCACCAGGGCAGGTGGAAAGACTAGAACTGAAATCCATAATTCAAGGGCCCAATCCCAGTGTCTGGGTTTAGGGAACTGCAGTACCATGACATAGTAAGAATTATGTATTTGGTCTTAGTCCCAGCTTCCAGGCAAAGCTCCTAAACCTGTGGAATTTCCTAATAAGGGTGAGGGGCGTGTCTTTAGTTATTCATAAGCCTCTTTCAACCACACCTGAATTTATGCTAATGAGGTGACTCTGGGGTCATGGTGGTTGGTTGCCAGGGAATTTTCAGCCCCACCCACCAACCTCAGGGGAGGGGGGAGGAGCTAGAAATTGGGCTAATCACCAATGGCTTAGGATTTAATCATACCTACATAACAGAACTTCCATAAAAACCCTAAATGATGGGGTTCAAAGAGCTTCTGGGTTGGTGCATCCCAAACTGCACAGGGACAGAAGCTCTTGCCCTTGGGATCCTTCTGGACCTCACTCTATGAGCCCCTCATCTGGCTGTTCTTGTATATCCTTTATAGTAAACCAGTACATGGGTTTCCCTGAGTTCTGTGAGCCATTACTGCAAATTACTGAAACTGAGGAGGAGGTAGGTCATGGGAACCCCCAATTCGTAGTCAAGTCAGACAGAAGTGTGGATGACATGGGGACCCATGATTTACAACTGGCATCTGAAGTGGGGGAGGAGACAGTCTTCAGACCAAGCTCTTAGCCAGGAGGGTCTGTGCTAACTCCAGGTAGTTAGTGTCAGAAGTGAATTAAATTGTAGGGACACCAGTCGGTGTCCACAGAAACCTGGAAAACCCACACGTTCAATGTCAGAAATGCTGTGAGCAGAAAAACAGTTTTCCTTTAGGGGACAATGTCCCTGACCCCATCGGGAGCTCAAAGCCCTCCGACCACCCCTCTGGCCCGCATCACTGGGGTCGCAGGAGACTCAGGTCGCCACCTCGGGGCTTCCCAGAATGCCCCATGCACACTTCCACAGTTCTCACCTCCCAGAGGTGGTGTGGGCTCTATCTCGTCTCCCCTCCTTCATGGGGCCTGCTCTGAATCCCCCCAGAAACCGCTTCCGGGGAGATGAGGAGGATGGGAAAGAGCCTTGGGTTTCTCTAACTGAGGACAGCAACTCATTTTCCTTCCACCCCCACAGAATACATCCAGCTTCTCTATCCCCATCTG